TTGAGTTAAAATGAATATGTTACCATGTGGTAATGATTGATACAAGGTAATACAAAATATATTAAAAATAAATATCATTTTGTAGATCACAATGAACCCATTCAATTTGTGTAGAATACTTTAAAATAAAAATTGGAACAATGAAAATAAAAGCCAATTAAGAAAACTAAAAAATATAAAAAGAGAGTTTTATTCTCACTCGTTAGATCTTATCTCACTTTAAACTAATGTTCCACTATATATATATATAAAAAGGTTCTAAATCTACACAATAAATAAAAGCCAAATGAGAAAACTTGAAGCCCCATTTCAAATTTCCTGCATCCAGAGTGAAAGTAGGAAGACCATTTTGGTCTTCACAATTACTTTTCTTTTATTCATTAAAAATAAACTTACTAGGATTCGAACCATGACAACTTTAAAGAAAAATAAAGATCATAACCAATCACACTAAGTACATTGTTGTATCTTTTTAAATTAAAAACGTATAATCGCAGAGAGGAAAAAACCCTTCCACCATTTCAAATTCCCTGCTCCAGTAGCGTTTGTAGGAAGGGTAGAATATGGAGTGCCAATTTTTTTCTTTTTCTTCTGTGGAACGAGCCAACTTACCGTACACATGCAGATTTAAACGGGTCCAGGAGTGTCAATTTTTTTCTTTAAGTCCTTTTATTTCTCCGTGCTAGTAAAATATATATGAAAAGGCAAAAACAATACTCTTTTTATTGCCAAAAAGAAAAACTTTAAACAATAAACTAATGCATGGATTCTAATGGGCTAACCGCTAATCATAAAATAAAAGAGTTGAATGGGCATGACCTACACGGGATTTGCCCATCAAGTAAAACAAATGAACATCATGAGTTTGTCATTCTAAAACAAGCTATTTTCTCTAGCATAATATATATAATGCTATTATTTTATATCTTAGTAGCTAAAATATCATGTATTTTAAAGTTATTCAATGGTTCAACCTCGACCAACCCAATTAGTTCAATTTTTATCATTTCAAATATATATTATGTAATTATTTGATATCATAATGATTAAATTATAGTGTATATTATAGGGAATCAGTATTTGTTAGTAAAAAACTAAACAGAAAGATCTATTTGGTTATTTTTAACATTAAAACGATCCTAAACATTTTCAGTTTTCTTTCAAAATTCTATAGTTTTATTCCCGAATCAGTGATGTGCAAATGACGAATTGCAGTCATCTCTTTTCTTTCATTATTTTTTATTTTCAAATAGAAAGTTTAAAAGTAAAGAATAATTAGAGTTTGGCATGGGTCGGTCACACAGGCTGAATTTCAAGTTTTGACCCATTTTGGTCAAGTCTAATTTATAATCACATGGTTTCCTGATACCCGATAAAAATCTCAATCCAAACCAGTTTGGGAGGTGAGTCCATGTTTACCATCATTTTATAGGGATATAGGAACGATGGTTCCTATCCCAAATCGTGTTGTTCATTCTTGATTTCTTTAGATTTTATCATGGCTTGGCAAAAAACCAGAAAGCACAATGATGACAAGATGAATCTATCTACACAATAAATAAAAGCCAAATGAGAAAACTTGAAGCCCCATTTCAAATTTCCTGCAATCAAAGTGAAAGTAGGAATGACATTTTGGTCTTCACAAACACTTTTTTTTATTCATTAAAAAGACACTTACTAGGATTCGAACCATGACCACTTTAAAGTAAAGCAAAGATCATAACCAGTCACACTAAGTACATTGTTGTATCTTTTTAAATTAAAAATATATAATCGCAGAGAGGAGAAAACCCTTCCCACATTTCAAATTTGCTTCTCCAGGAACGTTTGTAGGAAGGGTAGAATAGGGAGTGTCAATTTTTTTTCTTTTTCCTCGGTGGAACGGGCCAACTTACCGTACAAATGCGGATTTAAACGGGTCCAAGAGTGTCAATTTTTTTCTTTAAGTCCTTTTATTTCTCCATGGTGGTAAAATATATATGAAAAGGCAAAAACAATACTCCTTTTTATTGCTAAAAAGAAAAGAATTTAACAATAAACTAATGCATGGATTTTAATGGGCTAACCGCTAATCATGAAATAAAAGAGTTGAATGGGCCTGACCTACACGGGATTTGCCCATCAAGTAAAACAAATGAACATCATGGGTTTGTCATTCTAAAACAAGCTATTTTCTCTAGCATAATATATATTATGCGATTATTTTATATCTTAGTGGCTAAAATATAATGTATTTTAAAGTTATTCAATGGTTCAACCTCGACCAACCCAATTAGTCCAATTTTTATCATTTCAAACATATATTATGTAATTATTTGATATCATAATGATTAAATTATAGTGTATATTATAGAGAATCGTTTGGTATTTGTTAGTAAAAAACTAAACAGAAAGATCTATTTGGTTATTTTTAACATTAAAACGATCCTGAACATTTTCAGTTTTCTTTCGAAATTCTATAATTTTATTCCCGAATTAGTGATGTGCAAATGACGAATTGCAGTCATCTCTTTTCTTTCATTATTTTTTATTTTCAAATAGAAAGTTTAAAAGTAAAGAATAATTAGAGTTTGGCATGGGTCAGTCGAACAAGCTGAATTTCAAGTTTTTGGCCCGTTTTGATCAAGTCTAATTTATAATCACATGGTTCCCTGTACCTAATAAAAATCTCAATCCAAACCAGTTTGGCAGGTGAGTCCGTGTTTACCACCATTTTCTAGGGATACAGAAACGGTGGTTCCTATCCCAAATCGTGTTGTTCATTCTTGATTTCTTTAGATTTTATCATGACTTGGCAAAAAACCAGAAAGCACAATGATGACAAGATGAAAGTTTTATAAAGCAAATTAATCGGCCAACGGGTCGAGTAAAAGCTAGCAACGATCGTGAGATGCTCATTTCTCGAAAACTGACAGGATAGGCGATTTTTTATTCGATTTTCTGGAATTCTGTTTCTATAAAACTTACTCCACCTCATCATATTACCAGAAACAATATTGTTTCACAAGGTAACATGTACTTGATTTTGGTTCATAAGGCTGATTTTTGATTCGTTGCATAATTCATGTCTCTTTCCTACTAAAATTCACTATTTTTAGTATGTGTTTAAAAAAAAAAAATACAACAATAAACTATACACCCCACTATTTTTATCACCTTCCTCCGGCCAAATGACCGGGGCCACGCTAGTCTTTTTAATATACAAAGATTATGCACCTGCAGTTGATCCTATCTTGGAGTTGGATCAATATAAACATAGTAGCGGAGCTCTCTCTCAGTGCTTGATTCGACGACATCGTCGGTGACGCAACCCCGGTCGTCCTAGCTAGTTGCCGAATTGGACGGTTGGAGCATATCGCAAGATAAAACTCTGACTGCAGTCATCCGATCGAAGACATGTCACTCGATGACAACCATTAAAAAATAAAAAGTTTGCTACATCCATCTGCCTCGAAAATCTAAATACACGATCATTCATATCTTTACTCTATCCCCGGCTTGGAAACAGGCCAAGGTTGTCAAACCAGTGTGCCGATTTAGCAAATGGAATGGTTCAACTGGTGACACATACCGGTTTGTACGAGTTCATGCTGGTCAATATTACAAATAAAATTATAAATAATTATATTTAAACATGACATTTAACGTCAATAATACCAACAAATAACATCAATATTTAACTTTTATACTCATAAAATAAACAATAAAATAAATTTTATCAATTAAATTCTCTAAAATAAGGTCATTTTACTTAGAAATTCGTATATCGATCATGCCGGTCATACCAATAGTGTCACGCCAGTTTTATGACCGATATCGGTTGAACCCGTTACAACCGGTGGCACGCCGACCGGCGTGACAACCATCAAACAGGCAAATAAATGGATAGAGAAAGGTTCAATGAGACCCATCCCCATGGCCAACTACTGCATATGCCAGCAACAGTTTTGTCCCGATTTCCAAGTTCCAACAAACACCTCCACATTTCTCTTGCATGGCATTTCCTCCACCGCCACCTGTATATTCAATTCTTTCCTTCCATGACGACGATAAAGATGGTGGCAATTCATGGTTGGAGAAAGATTGCCTATTTCTCTTACGTGCCTAAACAAGGAAGCTCCCAACAGCCATGTTTCTGATCCCATGCTGAACACCATATGCATGTTGGACAATTATTTCAACACCCCACCCTCCCAATTTAATATTTATTACCCAACAATAATTCAGACCCCGAATTATACCTTTTGCGTCGATTTAGTAAGTGGTATGCTACGACTGTTTCTCTGCGGATCGGAAAATAGGAGGTCTCAACAAAGCAAGGAAACGAAAACAAGAACAAACACAACACACGATTTACGTGGTTCACTAACACAATGTGTGTTAGCTAGCTAGCCCACGGGCAGGAGAGTGCTATTTTCGTCACTATACTTACTACGAGAAAATAAATACAGATTACAGAGGAAAATGAGAAGTATTTATATTAGGTTTAATACACTTGTATATCCAAAACTTTCACGGTTGTGCCAATAATATCCAAATTTCCCGAAATACCACTTATATCTAATTCCTTCACATTCTTTAACGGTGTTTTTGAATATACAAGTGTATTTAACCAAAAATATATTGGGAAATGGATAGATTTGGCAAAGAACAACTTTAAAACATGGATATAAGTGGTATTCTGAGAAATTTGGATATTATTGGCACAACCGTGAAAGTTTTGGATATACAAGTGTATTAAACCTTTATATTACTTCTTCATATGGTCTATAACCCTAATCCAAATTAAATTTTTTACTAATAATACTAATACTATTCTCGCCAGTTTTATGACTTACACTAATCGAACCTGGTTTAACCAGCGGGGTTACTCCACTGGATAAGACCAAAACCTTCAGCATGATGCATGGAAAAGGGAAGTTAAAGAAAAAGAAAAGAATGAAAATTCATCAATTCTGACATCATATCCACTATAAATTGAGCATATCGGTTGAACCTCTCACACTCACCCACTCCTACTTCATCCTGTGCAAAAAACAAAAAAAAACCCTCCTAAAGAAGGAAGAACCCACCAGAAGTTCCCACACCATGGCTGCATCTTACAACTCTGTCTCTTCCATGGTAATTCACTTTCCTCCACTCAAATCTCTGTCTTGTTAACCAACAATTTTTTTTAGATCAAAGTTTATGTTATTTTGAACATTTTATTATGAATTCTATATGTCATTTCTTTTATTTTGTACGTCACAAATTAAAATCTACTTATGATTTTCAATTCCTACAAATTGAACATGTACTAAACATAAGATATATTATGCTAAACTATTATTTATATTAGCATCTTCATAAGGATTCAAAAGACGAATGAACCATCATTGAGACTTAATAACTCAAGTCGTTACAAATATTTTTTTTTTATAGATTTTATATACCATTCCTTTTCTTTTACATATTTGGTGGCCATTTGTAAACAAATTTTCATTCACTAATTTGTAACAAATACCATCTAATTTTTGTTATGAGCTCAGTACAGTTTCAAACTATGATTGATTCGACAAACTTTGATTAACATTGTTAATTGTCTTATCGGAATTATCCTTATTGGTTGTGACCTAATATCCTAGAGTTATATATAGATTACATTGCCTAATATCATGGCCTTGCTAATAGTTGATATACATCCTATGAAAACCAACCATTATTCGAAAATTTTCCTATACCATGACTTGACTGCTCTTTTCTAGGTTCTTATCATAGTAAGAAAATAGGATTCGAGCAATATAATTGTGAGTTAAGTGTTAAAACTTATAAGCGAACTTCTGTCCATAACGTGGTTTGATAGATAATGGAAGAAGAAGGAAGATTCGCGGCCGAAGTAGCAGAGGTGCAAGCATGGTGGAACTCGGAGAGGTTCAAGCTAACCCACCGCCCGTACTCCGCCAAGGACGTGGTGGCGCTCCGCGGCAACCTCAACCAGAGCTACGGCTCCAACGAGATGGCCAAGAAGCTGTGGCGCACCCTGAAAACCCACCAAGCCAAAGCCACCGCCTCCCGAACCTTCGGCGCGCTCGACCCAGTTCAAGTCACCATGATGGCCAAACACCTCGACACCATCTACGTCTCCGGCTGGCAATGCTCTTCCACCCACACCTCCACCAACGAGCCGGGCCCCGACCTCGCCGACTACCCGTACGACACCGTACCGAATAAGGTCGAACACCTGTTCTACGCCCAGCAGTACCACGACCGGAAGCAGAGGGAGGCCAGGATGAGCATGAGCCGCGAGGAGCGAGCTCGAACCCCTTACATCGACTACCTGAAACCGATTATAGCCGATGGAGACACCGGGTTCGGCGGGACCACGGCCACCGTGAAGCTGTGCAAGCTGTTCGTGGAGCGCGGCGCTGCTGGGGTTCACATCGAGGACCAGTCCTCGGTGACCAAGAAGTGCGGCCACATGGCGGGGAAAGTGCTGGTTTCGGTGAGCGAGCACATCAATCGGCTGGTGGCTGCCAGGCTGCAGTTCGACGTGATGGGCGTGGAGACGCTGCTGGTGGCGAGGACTGATGCGGTGGCTGCGACCTTAATTCAGACCAACATCGACCCGAGGGACCATCAGTTCATTTTGGGCGTGACGAACCCGAATCTTCAGGGGAGGAGCCTGGCGGCGGTTCTGGCTGAAGGGATGGCAAATGGGAAAACCGGAGCGGAGTTGCAAGCGATTGAAGACAATTGGGTCGAGTCGGCACAGTTGAGGACTTTCTCCGAACACGTGGTGGGCATGATTGAGAAAATGAACGCGCCGGAGCCCGAGAAGCGGAGGAAGGTGAGCGAGTGGATGAATCTCTCCAGCTACGAGAAATGCCTCTCCCACGACCAAGCCCGCGAGGTCGCTGCTCGACTAGGGATCAACAACCTGTTCTGGGACTGGGATTTGCCGCGAACCAGGGAAGGGTTCTACCGATTCAAAGGCTCGGTGATGGCTGCGGTGGTCCGAGGCAGAGCATTCGCTTCCCACGCGGATGTGATCTGGATGGAGACGTCGAGCCCCGATCTGGTGGAGTGCACGGATTTCGCTCAGGGGGTGAAGTCGACCTGCCCGGAGACGATGCTGGCGTACAATCTGTCGCCGTCGTTCAACTGGGATGCTTCCGGAATGAGCGACGAGCAGATGAAGGACTTCATCCCGAGGATTGCGAGGCTGGGTTTTTGCTGGCAGTTCATTACGCTTGCTGGGTTCCACGCGGATGCGCTGGTGGTGGACACTTTTGCGCGGGATTTTGCTCGCAGAGGGATGCTGGCTTATGTGGAGAGGATACAGAGGGAAGAGAGGAGCAATGGGGTGGATACTCTGGCGCATCAGAAGTGGTCGGGTGCTAATTTCTACGACAGGTATCTCAAGACTGTGCAGGGCGGGATTTCTTCCACTGCCGCCATGGGCAAAGGTTAGTGCAAAACTTTTATTTGGAAAATTTGAACATTTAGTGCCATTTCATCTTTCCAAGTGGTGATTTTGGTCCCTTCTTATGGGTTTCCTTTTTGGGTAAATTTTGCAGGGGTGACTGAGGAGCAGTTCAAGGAGACATGGACAAGGCCAGGAGCCATGGAAATGGGTGGAGCTGGAACTGAAGTGGTTGCCAAGTCGAGGATGTAATAAGAACCAAGAGAGTTATGGTTGCTATGGAAGAAGGGTTTGGTTTTGAAGAGGGCGGGGAATCCAACCAGGATCCTGACATTATGGAACTGGGATGAAGTGAATAATTTGTGTGCCAAATAATAGGATTATTACTATATGTTTTACCCTATTGAGGCGAAAAACGAAGCCCGATTCTGAGGAAGAATTCCCAAGGCCACAATTGTTCTTTTTGGTGATTTCACTTTGCATTTTGTAGTCTTCATTAAAGCCAATTGCAAGAATTTGTTTCTCTGTTCTGTAATTTTCTCATCATGTGATTCCTATATCAATATATGTTCTCCTATCTGTTGCTTTCCTCCATCACCTGTTTTCTCATTATGGTATTACGACATATTTCAGTTCTGCCAAAATTGGTACAAAACTTGATTGTGTTAGCTGCTGATTAGTCAGTCACTAGCCGCTTCAAGTTGTCCGTGTTTTAGAAATCGTCACAGTGTAGAGCAGATGTTCCAGGTTCGCCTGCTACATTTTAGGGCCGTTTCAATCCATGCTGCTATTTGACTGCAATGCCCACTCGTTCATCCGAAACTCTCAAATTCGAGTTCTGACCTGACATCAGAACCACAAATCCGAAATGTTAATCAAAATGCGAATCTGTGATTAGTCACTGTTCCACATGAGGTCTAGGAACTGTATATATATACCTCACCAACAACTCTAGGATGGAGGAGAACAAAATTGCAGAGAGGAGGCCTTAAATCGAGTGAAAGTCATCTAAAGAAATGCAGCTGTGATGATGTTATGAAGTAACACAGGGAATAGTTGTGTAATGAATGGATGAAGCACTAATTTCCTTTTTTCTTCTTCTATATAAAATACATATCTATCTGCATGTGTTGTTGTTTTTATGTGAGTATTTTCCTTGTGTGTGGGGGTTCAGGCCTTCTTGTTCTTCCAGGGTTTGAGAACGGCTAGTAGAATGAAACCGGCAATGAGCAAGAGGAGAATGATGGCAATCATCATGCATTTTCTCGAGTTCTTCTGCAGACTCTTGGCTGTCTGGAGAGCATCTGTCCCTGATTGAATATGATCCACTGCATTTGTCACCTATTAAACAAAGAAGGAAAAAAAGTAGTTAGTCCAATCTCTTCTTATTTAAGAGGCAAGGTATGGATCGAGAAATCGTACAAGATCTCAAATAAATGGGAAATGATCGTGTAAAAAGTCGTTATAATATCATGATGAAACCACATCAGATTGGTCACCATTACATAGTTCTTCTAAAAAGAATTCATTGATGACATTTACTCATGATGTCTTACAAGAGGAGTCTGCCTTGAAAGAGGCGACCTAATCCATCAATTTCAAACAAAGTATCCTACACGCAAAATTAGTCTTGCACCAAAATTGAAGTAAAACCAAATATGACATTGCTATAGGGTTGACTTATGATGACAGATGTAAGAACAGGGGAAGACTGCACAAGGACTTTGGATTCCTAAAGAGAGATAATCAAAATGTCAAAGGCACTGTCAAAGAGTAATAAAAATGGCTAAGACTCTGAACCAGTCACTTAAATGCCTAATTTTCACACCCGTGCACTGCACGAAAACCAGAATTGAGAAGTACTTATAGAAAAAGAAGTAAGAGAAACCTGGTTTTCGATGTTGTCTAATATCTCTCCTTGAGCCTCAACTAGAACAGCCATGTCAAGGTATATCTGACAATAAGATTGAGACGCAAGTTCTTAGGCTGTGCTAGCTTGTTGAGCAAGTGAGTAGCTAGATGTGGGATATGATAACTTACCTGGTGTAAATCAAGAAGCTTCTTTTCGATCTCCTTCACTGCGTCGTGCCTCTCCTGGATTTCTTGCACCGTATTTAACACCTACACAAACAAGGCTCAAAATGGCTGAGCATGATGAATCAAAGTTTGATGATCTTTCTTTACAAGCAGAATGATAGATGATGATTATTTAAAACAGCCAAACCTGTCCTCGACCCATTTCTTGCATTGCATTTTGAAAGATCTGCTCACTGTCTCCCGTCTCAATTAGTTGGTCAATCGTCTAGTGCCAATCAATAATATCTCATAAGAACCAAACGGGAAAAATACTGACCACTTTAAACAAAAATGACTTTTAAGTTATAGTTTCAAGATTCAAAGCTCACCTCTTCATCTGGTCTAGTTCCAGTGACTGATCAAGTTGCATCGAGAACAAGTAGAGAAAAAAGCAGTCAGTCCAAATGTAGTCCGAATAATCCTAGCTAGCTCTAATTGAATCCAGGTCATCAATTTCAAATCGAAGATTTGTACCTGTCATGACCCTTCTCTCAACAACCTCTCGATACTCGTCTTGTATCATTTGTCTTAGGGTCTGAAACTCGGTCATTAGGTCTCTAAACCTTTTCGTTAATGAACTGCAGTCCACACAAAATAAATGTAAACAAGAGGGAGTGTTAGGAAAAGAACATTACAAGACTTGATCCAACTCTAGAAATGAGAAGCCATTGTTATACCTTGAAACATTCATCCTAGCTCTGTCGACCCCAGTGCCCTTTTCGCAGCCAGGTTTCTGTCGATTGGCTAAGTTCTGGTATTTAAACACAACAACAACAAAGGAGAAGAACCAGTCCAATAAGTAAATGTGCTACATAGCTTGTAGGAGAAAGTTAAACTTGATCAATACCTAATTAAAGGAGAGTGAAGTAGAGTTTTTTTTTTTTTTTACATCTTTGTTTATGGCTTCTAGTTTTGCTTTGACGAAACGTGCTGTCTTCCCGACTTCGTCAATGTCTTTCTCCATTCGCTTTTTGATGGCTGAATGATTGGATGGCCAAAAACAAGTCAGACGTCAGGTGCTTCAGAGTACTGAGTACTGACTAAGGCTTGTTGTCATATTCAAACTTCTAAAGGTTTCCCTTAGCACAATTGACTATATACAAAGAAGAGGCTTACCTTTCATGGAAGAAGCTTTAGTAACATTTTTTGATTCCTCGTTAGCATCCTACAGAAGATAACAGTAGTATTTACTATTTAGTAAGTTCCATACAGTTAAAAAATGTAATAGGAGGGTTCTTCTTCCATGAGATAAAGTTATAAACAGAGAATGAATTTCATAGAGTTCAACCATTGATTCTGTTCAATTCTTCATGGAACTCTACCATACAAATAGAACTGTAGTTTCAGGCCATAAATTGTAAGGCGCCCTGGTGTTACTCAAGAAATTGAGACATACCTTCAAGTTCTTCAGCAGACCAGCAACTTTATCAACATTTTTCTCAACTTCTTGTATCTAGTAAAAGGTCACATGAAAATTGAAAACAAATTACCAAGGAAGATAACTAGAGCTGACCTAGAGCCCCAAATTAGCTAGAAAATCACAACCCACTACATATTTATCTAAAGCTTCCCTTATACAATAATCTGGATAATGCCTATGGCCATATATATATATATCCCTTACATAGACTAAAACTTGTACCTGCTTATTGAAACTTGCCATTCCCATATCAGAGCTACTCCTGGAGCTCTGGCTGTGACCCTGCACCCCCATCTCGATATCATTACTCTGGACCCGATTCGTTGGACCAACGAACGAGTCCTGAGACCATAAGAGAATGGCACAATCTCAGTTGTCATCATTTTTGCTTTAAACAAACTCATCAGTCATCACCAAGAGAAGCAAGGAAAAGGGTTTCCATGAGCCATATGCATCAAACAGGATGATTCCATTTCATTGTCTAGCTAGCCTAAGAGAATACAGTTAGGGTTGCAATGAAATATCTACATACAGAGGAATAGTCTCTTGCATGTTCAATTCTAGCAACGGACTTGTGTTAAATCAGGCGAGAAATTCCGAACACCACCAGGACCTGATGCTGATAGAGAATTTTAATATTATTACAGGTACAGTTTCCACTTGGCGCCTTGATGATCAAAACAAGGAATCACGAAGAAAATTCAGAATTCTCCCCAGAACGTAAACAACAAAGAAAAATCGAAACTGAAAGCAGTCCAGTTCAAGTAAAATCTGCAGCATTGTTCATCAGCCCTTATCAAAGCACTGTTGTTATTTCTATACTATACCCAGTGATCAAAACTAGGTGAAACCGAAGTATTGACGACAGAAGGTGAGAACCCAGTACTTGGAAACCAGAAAAGAATCGAACTTTACCGTGAGCAGGTCGTTCATCTGTTTTTTTCTTCTTCCTTTTATCACTCTCAGAGGAAGAGATAACGGTTCAGTCGGAAGTTAATCCAGAGAAGCAAAGGGGAAAAATAAAGGCTGGAGAGATATGATGTTGGGGGTGCTTAACGACAAACAAAATAAAACGGTAATAAAACTGAAACTGAAACCTAAACGGGAAAACTTATTAATGGAGAAGTTTTTTGCCATTTCAAAGGCAAAAGAGTATTGCTGGGTAGCCGGCAGCCCAGCCAGACAGAGCCAAGGCAGCGAAGGAAGAATGTTTCCGGTTTCTTCGTTAGTTTTAGTGCATAATTTATGAGGCTGACTGTTGCAATGCTGGCCATGTCGTTTCATAGTCTTCCTGTTTCCTCCTTTCGTTTTCGAAGACTGGAGCTTTGGACAGCCTTTGCATTTTGTTCACATGAACAAGATGTTTGTCTGTTTCGTCCTTTGTTTTGTTTTCCCTTTTGGTTTGTGGGGGCTTTTCTCTCATGTTGGTGAGCTGTAGTCGAGATTAGATTTACTAGTCTCGTATGGTATGTCCAAGCAAAATTCTTTCGCTTGTCAGGTGCCACTCTCAATTCTCTAATGGATTGGCAATTCGAAATGTTTTTTTTTTCCATTGAGAAAAATAGATAAAAGTTATAAAAAAAATCGCCTGCAATTTTTATTTTGATGCTGAGTAGTGATTTTATTATGCTGGCATCACTCCAACTAGCAATCCTCGGGTGGGGCAGGTTTTTCTATATACTCTCTTCGAACCTATAGTTTAAAATAGTAACTATTTCCATAACTAAAATTATGTGGGAATGTAATATGACATACCAAAACCAACTCGTATGTGGTTCGAGAAAAATCCACCCGCACCATCCCCGAAAAATTATATCTAAAGTTTTGCATATGAATCGATCTATATTTTTTCTTAGAATGTCAATGTTATTGAAGTTTCTTTGTTACATTGTTTGTAAAACTTAGAAAAAATGAGTAAGTTATGAAATCAAAGAGATAATTATAATATTTGAGAGATATGGATGAAGAAAGTGTTTAAGTAAGTGTAGAACATAATTATAACACATATTCGAGTGAGTTCAGTGCAAAATTCTCCAACACAAAGACAACTTTTTTCAATTGTCCCTTTTCTTTCTTATTTGTAATTCGCGGAGCTCTCCTCCATGAGGGATCCTCATCCTCCATAGTTGTAATCTTAGTTGTAGTCACAGACCTCCTAAGGAATCTCCATAGGAGTAGGATAACAGTAATGTAGATTTTCCGTACACCAAATACCCTCGTTAGAACAATGTTTGAAGATGTGTGGACCGTAGCAACAATCATCACCTTCATAGAAGTGAGACGCAACTCATCCACCTGTCTTCCACCATTAGCAATTTGGAACTCCTAGTGGGACACATGTGTTTGGTATGGCTTGGGGACGGAGGTAGAAAGAAGATGATCTTCCATGAGGTTTTGTGGAGGAGGAGAAGTTGGTCAATGTTGATGTTGAGCAAATTGGGGGCACTTCAGCCAACACTAGTGGAGCAGAAGTGCCACTCTTGGCTCCAAACGCAGATACGCGTGAAGTAGTGTCCTCACTTCGCCAAATGATGGAGGAGATTCATCAAATGGTGGTTGGACTATGTAGAAGCAACCAATAGGTACATCTTCACTTGGCCTCTTTACATAAGCATTTTGATCATCTTGAACAAAGCATTGATAAAGCCGATGGTTGGTAGATATGTTTATGATCTTTAGATATCAAATTATGAAGTTATGCATGATGCATCCGTTGTATTTTGTTGTTGGTAATTGACAAAGATTTGGCAAATGAAAAAATTGAAACAATAAGCATTGACCAAGTTCGTGGTTCAGCAATTTCATGTTAAAAGTAGTGGTCAATCCAACTTGTCCGGCTTGACTGGTAAAGTTAAAGAACTTTCATATGACAACACTACAACAAATTTGGGTTGTCCTAACAGAAATAATAACCGTCACTTTAATTTTGTCAGAATAAACACTATATTGTGACAAATATTGAATTTGTCATAATTCGTATGTAACTTGTGACAAAAGGAGTATTTGTCATAGTATTTTGTCACATTAAATATATATTATGACAACGTAGTATTTTGTCATACAGTTTTGTCACATTATTTATGTGTTATGACAATATATGTTTATCATTATATATTTGACACAATTACTAGGGAAAATGGCAAGTTAACGAGGTTAAAGTGACGATACTTTTGTCATAATAAAATTTGTCACAGATCAATCTAATCGAATATTGTTAATGACAAGCATAGTCTTCATAACAGCTAGGGAGGTACGCTAATCTGACGAGGCACATTAAGCATACAAGAAAAGTTTTTTTCTTCTTTTCCCCTTTTATGTGCTAATTAGAAGAGGAATATGAGAGATAACGAAAAGATGGGTGGGAATTAATATATTTTCCCTCCTTCTGTAGCTTATCTCCCAAAAGAAAAAATATTCCCTCCCAATGAAAAAGACGCCGTCTCCCCAAACACCTCTACTCGATCTTCTCCTTCAACGAATCGACACCCAATCGAACTCTTCAAAACCTTCGGGCAAGAATCGACAAAGGGCAGCAGTTCATTGCACGTTAGAACACGACCCCTACTCTTTGTGCTGATTACCCTCTTCTCCTTCCACGGAAAGGATGTCGATTGCTTGGATTAGGTTTTCATTTGGTATCATAGGTTGCATGTAGGACTAAGAGGTAGCATAGGTACCCTAAACCCTCTTCTCCGCCTAGTATTGCATGCATATCATAGGAACCATAGATCATGTTCTCCTCCTGCAAAGGTTGAATGTAGGAGGTAATTGATTACTATTCCAGATTTTTTACTCAATTGCAACTCTAAAATCTAATTGTTTCTGGTTTAGTATTCGAAGCAGAGTATAGAAATAGTTGTTGTTTGCGTTTACTTGTTTTTTCGAGTACCTGATTATATGATAATCCACCTCCATTGGTAAAGAGTAGTTCATGGGAACCCAAATGGGAAATTGGTAGTGCAATCTCTGCTAGTAATCCCTTTGATGGTGGCTTGCTTCATTTATGTGCTTCACTGATGGTTTATGTACCACTATGTATTGTGGATTGAGAATATTGATTAAGTTGTAGTAATTACAGGTTGCTTATGCATATGGTTTCGAACAGAGTGTTATGTGTTTTTTTTTTTGTGGAAATAAGGCTTGTCCAAATTGTGAAATGTGAAATTATCCTTATTTCATTATGTTGTTAGTACAAGGGAAGTGCAAAGACAACTATACATGATGAATTGCCAATTAGTTTGTTTTTTTTGGGATGTACATGTATGTAACTGCTTCCATGGACAGTGGATATTGATTGATTTAACATTTGTCTTCATCTTGCAGGTGCTGTTGAAAGAGAAAAAGGGGCATCCTATAAGCAGTGATTTTGTGATCCATTGATCGTACAAGTTAAGGCTCGTCCAAAAGTCCAGGTTAGCTTAATTTAAGCACTTAGCCAAAATGGATAGGGGTGGGTGAAACTAAAGAACAAGTTTTGTTCTGATTATGCTAATGGTGTCAACCAATTCATTGGGGCTGCCTAAACCTTTGCAGATGCAAGTGGTAGAATCAGCTACCCTTGCAGAAAATGCAACAACTGTTGTTTTAAAACTTTAGATCTTGTGAAAGCCGATCTATTCTTGAATAGAATTGTAGAGGATTATATTACATGGATACATCATGGGGAGGAAACTGGTATTGCTAGTAGTGGAACAACCCAGAATATAGAGAAGGTTAATCAAAATGATATTGATGCTTTTGATATGGAAATGCCTTCCACGTTGGATGATTTGGGTCGAGGTACTGCTGCACAGTTTGGTACAACAGGTTCAGAATTTGGTAATGGGGATTTCAGTGTATGAAATGTGGATACAACATTGGCAAAGCTAATTAAAGATGCTCACTATCCACTTTACCATGGGTTTACAAATTTTTCAAGACTCTTATTCATTATGAAAATGATGAACAACAAATTGTTAACCAATAGTAGCAACGAATCCTTTAACTTGAATTTGGATCTATTCAAGAGTGCTCTACCAAATGGAGAGAATCTACCAAATTCATATTATGAGGTTAAGAGGTATATTCATATGATCTTGGGTTTGATTATACAATCATAGATGCATGCCCTAACAACTGTGTCATATTCCGTGGTCCTCTCCAAAATGAAAAGAAATATCCTAAGTGTAACGCAAATAGGTATAAACCGGGGAAAGGGAAGTAGATTGCCATTAAAACATCTAGGTATTTTCCTATTGGGGATAGACTACTTAAGTTCTTCATGACTAATGAGATTACTAAAGATATAAGGTGGCACAAAGAAAAACGACTTGATGATGAAGTTATTAGGCATCCAACTGATGCAAATACATGGAATTTTTTTGATAGAGACCATAGTTGGTTTGCTACCGATCATAGGAATGTGCGTCTAGCACTTCTTAGTGATGGTTTTAATCCATTTGGAAACTTAAGCTCTAGTTACAACATATGGCTTGTCGTCTTAACCCCCTACAATTTATCTCCATGGTTGTGTATGAATGAGTCTTTCATGTTTTTAAGTGTTATGATACCTGGAAAGCAATCTTCTGGTAATAATATACATGTTTATCTAGAACCACTAATAGAAGATTTAGAGTCTTTGTGGAAGGATGGGGTGAAAGCCTACGATGCATACTCTAAACAAACTTTTCAGTTACATGCTGCATTATTATGGATCATAAATGATTTTCCTGCTTATGAGATGTTATCCGGTTGGAGTACAAAGGGTAAACTAGCTTGTCCTGTGTGTAATTCTAAGACAGACTTCCGTCGTTTGAAATTTGGTAACAAAGAATGTTACATGGGTCATCGTAGAGGGTTAGACAATGGTCAATCATGGAGGAGGAGTAGGAAATTCAATGGTAAGGCAGAATTTGGACAGAAGCCTAACATTTTGTCTAGTGAGAAAGTACTTAGCCAATTGAATATGGCTTTAAGTGCTGACCTACCAGCTCAAAATTGCAAGAGGAAAAATCCGTCTTCTACCCCCAAGATAAATTGGAAAACCAAAGCAGCATTCTGAAGGTTTCTTCATGGGAAAAGGATTGAGTTAAGGCATAACTTAGATGATATGCATGTAGAGAAGAATATTAGCGAGAATGTCTAGGAACAGTGATGAATATCGAAGGTAAAACTAAAGATAACCTGAAAGCTAGACTGGATCTAGAGATAATGGGCATTAGAAAGGAGCTACACGTGAATAGAGATGGTGATAAGCCTTCTTTATCGCAAACATGTTATTCTTTAACTGCCGT